GAGGAGGAGGAGAGGAGGAAGGAGGAGGAGGAGGAGGAAGAGTGGGAGGAGGAGGAGGAGGAGGAGGAAGAGGAGGACGAGGAGGAGGAGGGGGATGGAGGAGGAGGAGGAGAAGGAGGAGGAGGAATGGGAGGAGGAGGAGGAGTAGGAGGACGAGGAGGACGAGGAGGAGCAGAAGGAGGAGCATGAGGAAAAGGAGGAAGAAGAGGAGGAGGAGGAGGTGGGGGAGAGAGTTGGAGGAGGAGGAGGAGGAGGAGGAGGAGGAAGAGGAGGAGGAGGAGGAGGAGGAGGAGGAGGAGGGGAAGGAGGAGGAGGAGGAGGAGGAGGAGCAGGAGGGGGAGGAGGAGTGAGAGGCGTGGAGAAGGAGGGCGGAGCTCGGTGTGCAAGGTGCGGGCCACCCCCCCGCGCCGGACGCGCAGTCGCCAAAGGTTGGGCCGTGCGGCAGTCGATCACCGAGCGCGTTCCACTGATCGCAAAGTGCCTAATCGCAAACGTCCGAAAAACACATGTCTGCTTCGATGTAAATTATCGCAGATCCCCCGCGGCGGATCCAGGCCATTTGCGAGCAGTTGCTTTGCGAGTAGTGGAACGCGCTTGTCCAGTCGAAGAACAAACAGCGGCACAAACAGAAGTGTTCGTTAGTCCGCGCGGATCTCTCGGGTCGGCTCTGGGCAACCCTGGCGGCTCCTCCGCCGTCGCCCGTGGCGCGCTCCGCGCGCCAGGGTGGTGTCCAGCGTCGGTCCAAGATACTGGCGTGGAGCACCTAACGTTTAGGCGTATGCAATGTGTTGTCCCTCTTAGTTAGGCCAGCTGCTTCGGGGCTCCTTGCGGCTTCCAGGCCGCAGGGTGTTTTCAAGCCGGCTCGTTTCGTCGAGAGTCTTTCGGGGACGTCAGAATCGCCCTGGACGGCCCACTCTAGCCTGCTTTACGGCCGAAGATCCCTTGCACTCGCGTCGCGAGAAGTAAGGACGTCTGGTGTCACACAGTCGCTGAGGATCAGAGCGCGCGCGTGTTGAAACACACACACACACAAGCACACACACGCACACACGCACGCACACACCCTCCCCTCTGACTCTTCTGCGTCCCGAGCCCGCCTCAGTCCTGTGACACCGCATCGCCGATGCATCGGCGACGCGGCGAGATCCTCCGACACGATTTTCTCTGCCCCCTTTGGCCCCCCCTTTATCGCCCCCCATTGAGCAACGCCCGCATCGGAGAGAGAGTGCCCATCCGGGGACGGCGCCGATCCAAGGTCTGGTGTCCGGCGTCGATGGCCAGCAGGGGTTCCAGTGCTTCCGGAAGCTGCCAGCGCCGCCTCCGCCGCCGGCGCCGCCCACCGCGGAGCTCGGGGGTTTGAACGTCGGCTGCACGCAAGAGGGACCTTTCGCCGGATTGCGGCTCCACGAAGGCCTTTCTGGCGCGAGCTTGCGCGCTTGGATTTGACCTCCCCGCCCTGGAAAGCCGCGCACCAGAGGTCACTACTCTTGCCTTGAGGCGCTCTTGCGTGTGGCCAGTCTGCCAGACATCGAAACGAATCATTGAGAAAACGCGTAAAGTAATTTCTCAGACGTCCGCGCAGATTGCTTGGCAGGCACATGGGTCCCCTTGGCGGCGCCTCCTGCGTCGCCCCTGGCGCGTTCCATGCGCCAGTGAGGGGGTTCCAGCGCCCATCCAAGAGGTTTCAGTCACGCAGGCGGGGGTGAGTGGAGGGGGGATGGGCGCCCATAGAAACACCCCCCTTCTTAGATACAGTGCGCCTTATCTCTATACATATCTACCTACATACATACAGACAGACATACATACATACCGATATCCATATATATATATATATGTGTATGTGTATTTAAATGTATACATAGTTGTATCTATCAGGTGGCTTTGAGGGGTCGATCAGGTTGCGACCGAAGTATTGGCTGATATGAATGCCTGATGACGATGGGGGCATTCATGATTATGAAAGATGATGATGAATGGGGGTTTTGGATTCGGGGTCGACAGTGCCTAAAGCGGTTTTGGGAGAAGTGCGTCCGCAGTGATCCTCAAGTGCATGGGCCGTCCAAGGCAACCAAAGGACATGGCGGCAGGTATCGTTGGCGTTGGCGGCGTTATCTTGCAGGTGCAAGATAGTAGAGTGGAAGTCCGACTGGATTGGGGGGGGAGGGAGGATGCTGAGGAGGGAGGAGATGAAGATCACGCGGAACAGGACGATGTGAAGGAGGAGGACTACGAGAAGCTACGGGAGGGATGATGAGCATGTACATGAGACGAGCGAGGATGATGATGATGAGGAGGAGGAGGAGGATGAGGAGGGAAATGAGGAAACGGATAAGGTCAGACAGGATAGTTTGTTGGTGCGAAATGCTCGGCAGTTTTGGGCAGTGGTTGGGGTTTGTTGAAACACGAGTGTGCCCTTTTTGTTCAGCTTCGTCAGGGGTTGTTGAACCGTTTGGCGGTCAGATTGGCTTATCCTGAAATCCTTTGTCGGCCGTGTTCGCATTGGCCTCTTCGTGTCCGTCTCCCGCGCTCTTTCGGGCACTTTTGGGCCCCCTGGGGCTCTGCTTGGGACGTCCTGTGCCCCTTCTTGGGACCTGCGAGCCCCAGACCCTGCCTCATCCTCATCCTCCTCGTCCTCCATCCTTCGTCCTCTATCCACGTCCTCTTCCCAAGTCGCATTCGCGTATTCGTCCTGATAATTAATCGTTCATCCTCCATCCTCAGTTTTCCCAATCCTCCTCCACGTCCTCTGCCTCCTCGTACTCATCCTCAGCATAATCGTTCCTCCCCGATCTTGTCTTGGGCCTACTTCTCATTATGATCATCATCCACATCGTTGTTCTCCTTATCCCCATCCTCGTCGGCGTCCTGATTCTCGCACCTCCCAAGTCCTAGGCCCCAGCAAGCAAGTATCTGCGTGCACTTCCTCCATCTCTGCGAGTTGCTCCTCGACGAGTTCCGGTCTGCAGCAGCCATCGCCCTTTTCGTGGCCGGATTCTTTGCCCGCGCCGATGTGGCCCGACCTGCTTTCCCCCTTGGCGTCGCGCCTTGCCTTGGAGGGTTTCAACGAAGGGCTTTGGCGACCTGAGGTCCGCCTAGGGGCGTTTAAGCCCCCTCCCCCATGGCGCATGCCCGCTTCGTAGCGCACTCGAGAAACTTCGTTGAATTTTTTGAGCGTGCTGTCTTCCATCCGCAGGCCTGAGTTGAACTGACCCGTGCCCCTGATGAGCCTGCCGCCGCCGCCTCCTTCCCCTCCTCCTCCTCCTCCTCCTCCTCCTCCTCCTCCTCCTTCTCCTCCTTTCGCCTACGGCCCCGGGGGAAACCGTGCGTCGCGCCTTGCCTCCTCTGCGTGCTGGGTGCGGCATGGCACCGCCCTGGGCTCCTCGAGCCCATGGGGTGCCCCGTGGAGGCCATCGTGGTCCGCAGTGCTCAGGAGGGAGAGAAGCATGCGATGAGTCGTCGATTCCCAGAAAACTGTTTGGACAAAAATAGGAAGGTGAGGGGGAAGACGAACACCCCCAAACTATTGAAGCATATGGAACTTATATGTCTATATATATATATATATGTGTGTGTGTGTGTCCCTGGGCTCCTTCAAGTGTGCTTCTGGTGGTCCCGTTCGGTATCGTTGGCCCCAGCTTCGCCACTGCCTCGGGCGGGTGCCTCTCCTCGCAGCCCTTCCGTGCGTCTCCCGCCGCGGCGGCGGACTCACGGGTTGACCCGGATCCCCGCAGCCGCCGTGAGGTCGTGCGGGAGTGCAGCGGGGGCCCATGCCAAGAAACACCCTGCTTGCCTCCAGGGTGCCCTGGGTTCCTGGAGTTTCGATGGTCTCTGCCGTGGAAAGCGTGACGTTCCCACGCCAAACATCGGTGGACGTCCTGGGGTCTCAGGGTTGGGTGTTGTTGTGGGAGGCTTCTCGTGGCCAGGGGCCCCCGCTGTGTCTTCGCGCGCCGGGAGGCCGATCTCCGGGCCAGCCTCGGCGGCTCTGGGAGCTTGGCCCTGCTGCTCGGTGGGCCTCGTGGGTCAGGCCCTGGCACGCCCAAGATGAAGGCCGTCCGCCACCGGAGACCCTTTTGGAGGTGCAAGCCGGCGCCTCTGCGGAGCCGGTGGCTGCTCCTCAGAGGCTGTTCTCCTGCGGCCTATTCCGAGAAGTGGGCGGCTTGCTTCCGAGAAGCGTTTTTTGTTCCTGCTGCCGAGAAATCTGCCTCGCGTCTCTGAGCAGCTGCTCCGTAACCTCTCAGAGGTGGCGTGCGTTTGTCGTCCGAGAAGTGGGCCCCCGCACGCCTCGGGGGCCGTTGGGCCGGGCGGGGGGTCGTGGGGGCCGTCCTGAGGGCCGTCGGGTGTGGGGTCACGGGGTCGGGGATCGCGAGGCAGGCGTGGGGAAGCGGCAGGGGCGTCGGGCTGAGTGCAGGCGCGTTGGCGCGTCGGAGGTCCTGGCCGTGCCGTGCCGCCCTACCGCGCCGCTCTCCTCGGCGCAGTGCCGCGCGGTGCCGCGGTGCCGTGCCGTGGGGTCGCGTAGGGTTCTGTCATGCGGTGCCGTGCCACGCCGTGCCGCACCGCGGAGCGGCGCAGTGCGGTGTCACGCTGGTCTTGCGCTGCTCGGTGCAGTGCCGCGCGGTCCTTCGCGGCGCGGCGCCGGGCCACCGTGGCGCTGTGCCGCACGTTGCCGTGCCGCGCGGTGCCGCGCCGAGGGGTGCCACGTCTGGAGGTGTGCGGCTTTCTGGCGCGTTGCATGGTGCCCGTCGCCCAGCTCTTGTATCTCCTCCCGATGCTCCGTTCACCCCGCCTCTTTCGCGGAAAGAGTGAGGGGATGCGCGCAGAGACTTGCTTGCCTGGGCCTCGTGCGAGTAGGAGTACGAGGATGAAGGCGGGGGTGAGGATTGGGATGATAAGAAGGATGATACTGAGGACGAGGATTCGTAGGAGGACGGAGATGGCGACGATGAGGACGACGCGGATTCGGATGAAGATGAGGACCATAATGAGGACCAGTAGGATGAGGACGAGCAGGAAAATGGGCAGAATGAAGGATGGACGGTGGAGGATGAGGACCAGGATGAGGATGAGGATAGGGACAGAGTGCGGAAGACGGAGGACGAAGGATGGACGATGAGGAAGATGATGAGGAGGATGAGGAGGGGCCCAGGGCTCCCGAGAGGGGAAACAACGCATCCAAAACATAGCCCCACCCATGGGGCGCTGGAGACGGACACGGAAGGGTCATGGTGGACCAAGCAGCTTCCAGGACATTCCACGAGTTACCCAGGATGGCCCGAGAAAATGTCAAGAGGTGTCTTATATAGTACATAGTCCAGCTATGTTTCAAGAAAGCCCCGGAACGGCCCAAGAAGGCCAATTCTTTCGCACACATTTGCTATTATGATTATCTTCGTTTCCTCCGCTTCCTCACCCTTCTCCTCCTCCTCCTCTTCGTCGTCAACTTCCTCGTTCACATCCTCTCATTCCGTCTTCCGTTTTGTCGTCTTCCCCCCTTTTTTTTGCTCCGCATTCACTTCGCTTCCCCACTCGCCACATCCCGATGCCAATGCCTCTCGCCACATCCCTTGGAAGCCCTCGACGGCCCGTGGACTTGAGCATTCACGTTGACGCACTCCGGGCCAAAACCGCTTTGGGCAATTAGTCGCACCCGAATCCCAAGCCCGAGTGCAGCTGGCGGATAAGGCGCAAGCAGGCAGAGCCTAATAATCGTCATCCTCCGTATCCTCGTCCTCAGTTTCATCCTCCTCATCGTCCGCTCCATGCGCCCTCGCTTTCTCATCCTCATCTTCATGTTCATCCCGTGCCTCATTCTCATCCCCATCCTGCCCCTCCTAATCTCATACTCGCCCTCATTTCCATCACCATTCTCATCCTCATGCTCACCTTCGTCTGGCGTCCGCGACACTCGCCACTCCCAATGTGAGCAGACGGCCACCGCGAAGCCGCTTGGAGATAGGGCCGGCGCCTTCTAAGAAGCAGCCTCCTTCTAAGAAGCCCTCCCCCTCCCTCAACGCCCTTGAGCGCGCCGCCGTAAGTCCGCGCGGACCTCCGAACGTTCATGTTTCTGCGCATGCAGTTATATTTATTTCTAGAGCTACATAGGAGGATCGGAGGCGGCGAATAGCCCAGGAGCGGGCATCAACGGGTGTCCGTTCGCCTCCATGCGCCTTTTGGATGATTGCATGTAGGACTCCCCCGTTGGGCTACGCCTCTATCGTTGCAGCCGGAAGGAGGATAGGCATATCAGACTGTTCCTCGGGAGGCCTCGCTTGAGAATGGCTGAGAACACTCGGCTTTCTGTGATAGGGTGTCGTGCTAGCCTGGGGATCTTGGAGGCGCTTTTCAGGGTCTCTAGGAGGCCACTTAATGGCCTCCTCGGGTGTGCTGGGCCTCTTGGGAGCCTCAGTGAGGCTTAAGTCGGGCGTGTCCCTCTACAGGAGGAATACTAAGAAATAGTAAAGAACATAGTCTCGGGACGATGTTTCTCCTATTTTCGATTATGTTTGATGCTTATTGCTCGACTATTGTTTATTTGTCGTCCAAGATTCGTTTATAGGGGGACATGCCCGACCTAAGCCTAGGCGCGCCCGAACCTTCCTGGCCGTACTCTTCCTCTCCCGATGTTGTTGACGACGTGCCCGCTGACGAACGCGGCGGCGGCGGCGGCCCACGGCGACGACGAGGAGGCCGTGCACTGCGAGCGCCGCCCTGCGCCGCGCCCCCCCCCCCCTCGGGCCGACCTGGGCTCTGGGTGCTGCCAAGTTCGCCGACAGACGCTTCGTAGGGTCTCCGGGAGGCCGCTGCATGGCCTCCTCGGGCGTGCGGGGCCTCGTTGGAGCCTCAGTCTAGGCGCACCCGAAAGTTCTTTGACGTACTCTTCCGCTCCCGACGTTGTCGACAACGTGCCCCCCGGCGGCGGCGGCGGCGGCGGCCCACGACGACGAGGAGGAGGCCGCGCACTGCGAGTGCCGCCCGCCCCCCCCCCACCGCAGGAGTGGACCGACCTGGGCTCGGGGTGCTGCAACTTCTGATGGGCCCATTTTCCACCACCACCACCATATGTAGGAGAGGGAGGATGAGGAGGAGGAGAGAGGATGAGGAGGAGGAGGAGGAGGAGGAGGAGGAGGAGGAGGAGGAGCAGGAGGAGAGGGAGGAGGACCTCGTCATCGTCCATTCTCCCCCGACCTACATACCGTAGTGTTGATGGAAAGCTTGCCCATCAACTTCGCCGACACCAAGAAGTACATCTCGGAAGAGGGCCAGCAGAGAGAAGTCGGTGGCACTCCTCCAGACCAGCCTCGAAAGTTAAGCGCTCGAAGATCCGCACGGAAGCTATCAACACAGTATCATCGTTCGCGCAGGTCCGCGTGGATATTTTGGATCGGCGTTCGACCTCCCTCCCTGACGATTTGAGTGCGCCAGGCGCCTAGGGGTGTCAGCGTTGATCCGAGAACTCAGCGCGTACCTCCGACAGCTTATGATATGATGGGCCTGTTTCCCACCACCACCACCACCATAAGCTAGAGAGGGGAAGGAGGACGACGAGGAGGATGATGACGAAGAGGAGGAGAAGGAGGAGAAGGAGGAGAAGGAGGACCCCCTCCCCCTCCGACTTATGGTGGTGGTGGAAACGGGCCCATGATGGTATGCAGGCGTTCCTGTCTTCCACCGGTGGCGTGCCGAGGGTGGAAGCGAGGGGGGACAAGCCTTCTCAGCAGGCGGCGGGGCGTCTTAGAATCCCTCCGGCCTTTGAGAAGCCCTCCGATTCCTCCTCATCTTCCTCTTTATCACCTGGGATCGGGGGCGGCAAAGAGGGGGTTGGTGACAAGGGGGGGGATATCATGGCGGGGGCCATGATTGTTCCCCAGATTTCATGGCGCGCCCTCTTATTTCAATACGTCCCCGGCCCCCCCCCTCTGGGCCGCGCACATGCCGCCGTCCATACTTTGCACCCCCCCTCTTGGACGCCTCCCTCTTTGCCGCCCCCGATGGGAGGCGGCGCGAGAGCGCGAAGTTATCCGCACTTCGCGCTTTGCGCAGCGCGAAGTTGGGAGCCCTTGCAGATGGGGTGCGAGTAGATGGGGTCGGAGGATCGCGCCGCATTGCCGATGCTTCGCCGATGCGGCTCGATGAGGAGCCCGTGTTTCCCCACGCCGACGTCGCCGATGCGTCGCGGATGCATCGCCGATGCATCGGCGATGCACTGGCGATGCGGAGGCCTCTCATCAGGAAGCCGGGTCACCTGCAGGGAGTCGCGAAGCGGAATCGCGCTCCGCGCATCGCGGCTTGTGCCAGAGCGGTTCCCCTTTGTGAGAGTGGGCGGTGTGCAGGCTCGAGGGCGCGATGCGCGAAGTGGGGTGACCTATAGGGAGGGCATGGGACGAGGATTCGTCGCTGTCATAGCGTTCCGGAGCGCTCTCACACCGTCCTGGAGCGCCCTTTGCGGGCCGCGGCGCCCGATATTCTCCTCGAGACCCCGATTTGTCCCCATCCGAATGTGCCCTCATCATCTCACCTTGGTCTTACGTTTCCTTTGCGCTAACCTCCTTCCTCCCTCCTTTCTTCCTCGTGTTTTACCAGCCCGAGACATACCTTATCCCCATGATCGGCATCAGCTTCTCCCGAGGCCGATCTCAAGGATTCCCTCAGCTTCCAAGGGTGCATCCTAAGATTACCACCACCTGTGGGTTCGCCAATCTGAGGGACAGGGATACAGTGGAGACCCATGCCAAGAAACACCCTGCTTGCCTACAGCGTGCCCTGGGTTTCGGGGTTTTCGGGTTTCGATGGTTCTGCGACGGGTGAGCGCGACATCCCCACACCAGAAAAATAGATGCACGCCATGGGTTCCCAGGCTTGGGTCTCTCGTGACGGTTTCTTGTGTGACCTGACTCCGCTGTCAGCTGTTTTTGTTTTGTTTCTTTTACTTATGTTTTTTGTGTTTTTTGTTTTGGACTCGTTTTTTTTGGAGCTTGTTTTGTTTGTTTTGGATTGGTTTATTTCATTTTTTTTTTTTTTTCTTTTTCTTTTTTTTTTTGGTTTTTTCTTTTTTTGGCTTTTTTGGAGTGGGTGTTTTGCTTCCCTTTGGTGTTTCCCCCCTGGAGGCTGCTGATGAGTCCTACAGTCAACCCGCATAGTAAGGATGGGCAACCTTCCAAAAGGTATCCTTGAATCCTTGCCTTCTCAGTCCATCCTTGGCCACTTTCGTTGGCCGCGCCCCGCTCGAGAAGCTTCGAAACGGCCTTCCAAGGCCCTTGCATGGAGGAGGAGGAGGGAGGAGGAGGAGGAAGGAAGAGGAGTAAGAGGACGGAGCAGGGGGAGGTGAGGAGAAGGAGGAGGAGGAGGAGGGGGAGGAGGAGGAGGAGGATGACGAGGAGGAGGAGGACGAGGAGGAAGAGGAGGAGGATGATGAGGAGGAGGAAGAAGAGGAGGGGGGGGGAGAGAAACTGTAGGGGATGTCCGGCTGCTGCTCCGCCGGCTCTCCTCCGGACCTCTGGATGGGCTTCAAGCTGCACGGGCCCGGCCAGGACCTCCCGGCCGGGGCCGGGCCTCCTCGGGGGCGGCCAAGAGGGGGGGGATGACCAGGGGGGGGAGGGATATCATGGCGGGGGCCATGACCTTTCCCCAGATCTCATGGGCGCCTCCTTCGTGTTGTTGCATTGCGTCCCGGGCCCCCCCGCCGGGCGGCGCACACGCCGCCCGGACATGCTTCATGCACCCCCCCCTCTTGGTCGCTTTCCCACTCTTGGGCCCCTTCCCGACCCTCGGGGCCCCTCGCGCCGGGCCTGCCGCTCTGCGGGAGGTGTCTCTCTCTCGCTCGAGGGCTTCGAACGGCGCACGACTCGCCGGGACGGGCGCAAAGGGGGGGGATTGGGAAAGGGGGGGTTACGAAATTTGCTGCATGCAGCTGGTTTCGGCCTCACCGAGGGGCCCATTCCTCGATACATAGCTCCATCCGGCGCCGGGAGGCGCCGGGAAAATCAGCTACGCGAGCTGATTCTCAAACCCCCCCTTTGCTATCCCCCCCTTTCGCCCGACCCGAGAGAAGGAGGAGGATCGGGGAGCAGAGTCAACCCGAACGGCAAGGACGGGCAACCGTGCCCCCCCTGCATCCTCGCCTCCTCGGTCCACCCTCGGTCACTCTCGCTGGCCGCGCCCAGCTCGAGAAGCTTCGAAGTGGGTGTCCAAGGCCCCTGCATCCTTATCGCGCATCCTTATGATACGGGTTGTTTGTCTCGGCACGCGCAGAGCGGGAGGGGAGGGGGGAAGGCTTCGTAGAAGCACCCCTGCTTCTCAGAAGACGTGGGCCTGTACGACAGATGCAAGGCCGGCGGCTTCTAAGAAGCAGCCTCTTTCTAAGAAGCCTTCCCCCCTCCCTCCCCCCCCTTGTGCGCGCCGCCAAGAATAAGAAGCTGGATAAGCCTAAGCATTCGACGGTCCGCGTGGAGTTATTGGATCTGCGCTGGAGCCCCCTCCGTGGCGTGCGGAGCGCACCAGGGGCGGCGCTGGAAGCGCTGCCAGGGGGTCTAGCGCAGATCCGAGACATCCGTGTGGATCGTCGAACGTAGTTTATTTGTTTATCCTCTTTATATGCGAGAGGAGGGGGAGGAAGAAGGACCAGCGAAACCGTGCAAATCCAAGACTCATCAACGATGCTGAAATACAGCCTCCCTCCAAGATCCCTCTTCACAGGCCCCTACAAGGTGTCATTTCCACTTTGGGAATTGCCCCGTTGGGGGACAACCGAGTGAAAATCTTGAGGCGTTCCCGAAAACCATCCTCAGGACTTCAACGCCACGAGTTACCCTGACTGTCACGTATCGGCGAACCTGAACCGTGCCAGAACAGCGTTCCTGGTACGTTAGTCAAATGAGAGCGTGCTAGAGCCACACGTTGGGAAGGAACCGCCTTCAATCCGTGACACTCTTGCATATTGTTGAAAGCCAATGTGCGCGGCGCTACGGCGAGAGCCACATTTTGAAAACCACTCGCCCTCAATCCGTGAAGATCTTGCAATGTTCAGCGAATGTGCGCAGCGCTCAGGTGAGAACCACATTTTGAAACCACTCGCCCTCAATCCGTCAAGATCTTGCACATTTCTAAAAACGAATGTGCACGGCGCGGCGTCGAGAGCCTCATTTTGAAAGCCACCCTCCCTCCATTTGTGAAGCTGCTGTCAACTGATAAGCATCAGGGCCACCAATTGTGAGAAAGGCTTTGGCGAAACGCCGGGCCCGCCCTATCGACCAGCCTCTGGGTGTGACAGTGCGGAGTGATCTACAAGGAAAGGGAATGGGGGATGATGATGATGATGATGAGGAGGAGGAGGAGAAGGAGAAGGAGGGCGGAGCAGGAGGAAGGATGAAGAGCAGGCGGGGGACGAAGTGCACGTAGAGATGAAGGTGCGGCCTAGAGGGCGCGCGTCTCTCGTCTGTCGCAGGAGGTCTCGGGAGCTCGACTCTTGACGGAGGAGCATCGGGAGGAGGATAGCCAGCAGAAGGATCAGGAGGATCAGCGGAGGGCTGTTTGAGGTACTGGCAGTTGGCCGTGGGGGGGGCCCTCGACCCCACTGCTCGACGCAGCTCGGACAACTAGTGCGTTCGGACCCCAGGACGGGTCTGGGGACCGATTCTGAGCCGATCTTGAGCTTCCAGTGCCTCAACTCGCAAGGAGGAGGAGGGAGAGGAGGAGGAAGAGGGGGAGGAAGAGGGGGAGGAACAGGGGCAGGAGGAGGAGGAGGAGGAGCGGAATAGGAGGAGGAGGAGGCTCAGGCTGAGGAGGAGGGAATAGGCGGAGGATGAGGAAAGAGGAGGAGGGGGAGGAGGAGGAGGAGGAGTAGTAGGAGCGTGGATGAGGGAGGAGGGAGGGGGGAGTGGGAAGGGGGTGGGGGAGGGGAGGAGGAAAACAGGAGGAGGAGTACGAGGCGGATCAGGCGGAGGAGGATCAGGCGGAGGAGGAGGAGGAGCAGGGGGAGGAGGATCAGGCGGAGGAGGAGGAGGAGAAGGAGGAGGAGGAGGAGCAGGGGGAGGAGGAGGAGGAGGAGGAGGAGGAGGAGGAGGAGGAGGAGGAGGAGGAGGAGGAAGAGGAGGCAGAGGAAGAGGATGATGAGGAAGAGGAGATGCCCCCCTTGGCTCTCTCGAAGTGCCCGCCCTCAAGGCCGAGGGCATCCCTACCCTCGCCGCTGCAGTCGACCCGCCGAGGAAGGATGGGCAACCTTCCCAAGGGTACACCTTGCATCCTCGCCTCCTCGGCCCGGCCTTGTCCGTGCCCCGTTGGAAAAGCTTTGCTATAGCCTGGCTCGCCTATAGCCCTACCTGGCTCGAAAAGCCTTGTAGTGGCGAAGCGTCCTGGCTCGCCTATAGCCCTACCAAACAATGTTCTAAGAACCTTGCGTGGTTTCCACGAAATGTTCTTAGAACATTTCTGACGATCTGTCTTCTTTTGTCGCATCGGGTTTATGTTCCAAGAACATTGTTTTTGTTATGGGAACATGTTTGGGG